ATCAAAAAAGTAGGACCTGAGCCCTTGGACAACAAACACAAGGGACAAGTACCTGCTTCGTTCTCCTTGTGGAAGGGGATCCCTGCGATGGATCAAGTGGGCGCCGAGTCTTTGGTGGCCACTCGGTTCCACTTGACCAGTTGACACTTTTCGCCTTTTCGGCAGTTTAGTGGATCAAGTTTTTGGCACACTTTTTGGCAGTTTTGGCAGTTTTTGGCTACTAGTTTAACCACTTCACCCACGTGGATCTGGGAACACCAGTTGAACGAAAGTGAAATGTCACTGGTGCCAACACGGGAACAGGTAGTACGCCGTAGTAATTGGCAACATGGAATGTATATCATATAGTTGGCCGTGTACATACGTAGCATACGTTTTAATATGTCTGTCATATTGGTGTCTACGCACACGTTTGTAATATGCAAGACGACAAGTGTAAGATGAAGCATGTAGGATGAGATAGGCAACCTGTAATGCGTTCTGCCTTTACTTCCCCAGAACTAGTTCCCCTTTTTAACTTTTTCCAACTTTTTTGGGGGTTCCCTTGGTTTTCCACCAACCAGGCAAAAAGAAACGTGACTGAAGCCAGAGAAGAACGACATACTGATGGGTCCGCGAAATCCAGAGATCGCACCACCTAAGAAACCATGGGAAGCGGTAAGAAACCATGGTTGAAACCGTAGTTTGTTGGTATTTACGAGAGAATCATCAAAAGGCAGGGTTTCTTAGGTGGTGCAGAACAACATATAAACCGGACAAGAAACCGGACAAGAACAACATATGAACTAATACTCCTGGTGGGAATGAACCCAGGCTTTGGTCCCCTTAAAGGAACCCAGCAGTTGGAGGGGTCATTCCAGAACTCATTCCCTGCATCTCTCGCAGCGATTGCAAGCAAGGGAACTTGTGAAAGACCAAGTTGAAAACAGAAAGGGCACCTCTTGGGATAGCATCCGGTCCGATGCTTGGAGGCCGGCGTTCACTCTTCAGACTGCGCTGTGGCTCTTGGTGGGCTTCACGGTTGTGGCTCTTCGGCTGAAGCGGTGCGCATGTGTGTGTGTGTGTGGCAGAGTTTGTTTTTGTGTGCTGTTATGTGTATCCTTGTTTTTTTTTTCCAATGGCCCTCTTCAGGTTGTTTTTTAACCAGAAATCAGAAGACCCTTCAAGCACACCTAGTGTTTCCAGCCGCTTTCTGGTTTCCCACATAGGTTGAACACGGATGGTTTCCCCTGACTCAGGGCCATGACCTCGGGCAACCCCTACTGGGTGACCACCCCGTAGCCTCCGACCAAGCCAAGCCACAAGAAAAGAGGCTGAGTGGTTTCCAAACATGACCCGTCAATAGGCTTCTTTATAGCCCGTCCGTATGTTATCGTAGCCGGTTTGAACATATGGGGTGTCTTTTTGAGGGTACCCTTTTTTGAGTGGTTTAAAAGGGAAACCAATTAGAAAGCTGAAGCCATTCGAAGGAAAGCCTTACAAGAAGAAACACCCACATGTGGATCCAACATGTCAAAGACGTGGCGGCCTTTCCTGTTTTTTTTGGCTCCTTTGAGTTAGCGAGGGCGGGACTCTGGCACTGTAGGAGGGCTGCTGGTTGCGTCTAAGCTGGATGTCACCCCGAGAAGTCTTGCCCATCGCTTAGCTGGGTTCACTTGGTTTTTTTTTCCGCATGTCTGCAAGGTGAATACTTGCCATTCCCAAAACATCCGCATTTCTCGTTGCTTGGCAGTTGCTTGGCAGCAGATCCACTCCTTTTTGTTTTCCTGTTCAGTTTCCATCTTGGTGGGTTTCTTCATGGCTGTCACTGCCCGAAACGCGTCAACAGAACAGGCAAGATTTCTTGTGGTTCCCAATAGGCTTGGTGATCACGCTATCCTCTTAAGTTGTAAGAGTGTTTGTTGGTTTAGCGGTTGGGTTTTCCCTTTAACCCACCAAGCATTGGTCACTTTTAGCAGGTGGATTAGCATTAAAAAACAATCTTTCATCATGCATCAAAGTAGGCACGAGTCTTCTGAGCACAACTTGTTGGCTTCTACAAGAAGGGACCTGAGGACAGCCCAGTATTCCATGAGCATTTTCTGTCAGATCTCCATCAGCTACCCAAGATGGGAGTGTCTTTTTTGGACCCCCCTTTTTAGTGGGTTCTGATGTTGGTTTCCTTTGAAGCCAAAAAAGGGCGTACTTCAAAAAGACACACACCCCTTTGGGTGTGTTCCCACCCCACAACAAAAGTGATCCGGATTCCCCCGAGAACGGGAGGTCTAAAATATTATCAACAAATCTTGATTCATCCTGGATTCCCCACCCCCTTGTAAATGGAACTGGGGGAGGGGGGGGTGAACCTGAAATTCCATGGTTCCATTTTCCCTTTACTTGAAGAACGAAATTGGGGGAGTCCTCACCTCTTTGGTTTCTGTTAACCTCCGAAAGGATCCGATCCAGTCGCCGAGATCGTCTCGGCCCGGTGGCATTGTTTTAAGGTGCACTGCTTGGGTGTTCGGCGAAGTTAGTGGGACCCACTGGTATTTCGCTGTGGGTCAAAATGGGTACCCAAAATGGAACCCTGGTAAATGGAACCCATGACTAAAACAGGCGGTCCCCTTGTGAATTCAGTTTGACCCACACCCATTTCACCCTAAGTGGGGTTTACCTGGTTGTTAGGGGGTTATAACTCGAGTGACCAACCACTTCCTAAGTTGGCCGAACACCCAAGTACTCAACGAGGGATCGGCTTTGGTGGTTAGTCGCTCTGGTCAAAGCCAACTTAGAGTTTGGGTTCGAGCAGGTAGCACATCGGGCTAAACAGCCCGGGGTCACTAGTTCCCCACTGCCAAACACCTTTCACTTTGCTCGCTTCTTTGGGAAGCACCTTCATTGTCCCTTCCAAGTGTCTTCACTTCTTCGATCCCTTGCGTGGGATGACCATCAGGGAAACCACAAAACAGATTCGACTTTTCCCACTGAAGGCGGAAAAGTCACCATGATCGTTTTGGGGTCCTAAATTGAATATACCATGAGGGAACCCACAAAGAAGATGACCTTCACCACTCACATGTCTGGGCCCCAAATGGTATATTGATCAACTCCCATTCGGCCACCAGAATCTTGAGCCCGATTTTCAGCAGGCAAAAGCTCGGAGGGGCCAAGTTCGCACCCGCGGAAGGCCAATCCAAGCAATCCAGAGCCGAGACCGGCCACCTTGAAGAGTTCCTTAAGGAGCTCGGACTCATCCGCGAAGCACCTTTCAGCCCAAACTGAGTTCTCTGCTCGGGAAGGCGCGCAGAAACCCTTATGCCCTTGTTTGGTAGCTTCACCAAAAAGGGTCATGCACCCGGTTTATCCCAGTGAGTGGTCTGGAAAGGTAGTGTATAAAAAATGGAATTTCAGCGCCGAAGCGACTAAATATCTGATAAACAAATTAATTGGTCTGCGTTAGCATAGGAATTCAGCCCCCCAACACATTCAATTTTGGTCTTCACCTGTAAATAAAAGAGTGCCCTTCGCCTCAAACCCGAACAAAAGGCTGGGTTCCCTTGAACATGGAACCCCAAAACGCACGCACCTGGGTGGCTCGTCTTTTTTGGAGGGTAACCCTTTTCTTGTTGGCTTCAATGGAAACCAAACACCGAAAATTTCCATTTTCTTTTGGGGCCCCGGGTCCACTCCCTAAAGAAAGCCGAGCCACCCACCCCCCGCGTGGGTTCGAGCTCAGGTGGGCCTGGTCTTGTACATGCAGCACCGCCGGCTTGCAGATGATCCTGGCGGCCAGGCAACGGGGCAGATGAACCACGGGTATAGCTACAACACATGTGTGTTTTCCTCCAGAATACATCCACGCTCATAACCAACTTACGTGTGTTGAACATCCAGGTAGGGTGAGTGGAGCTATCAATTCCAGGTGCCAACCCCCTGATGTCAACAACCTGGGCTCCAAACCACCAGGAGGGAAGCTGAGATCGTGGATGGCTATCATTGGTTGCTCGCTCCAAGTCCTATGGAGTGCATGAAGACCATCGCACATCGCGAAGCTGACCTTTTTCTTTTTAGTTCTTGGATCAACATGGTTTGATACTTTGGTTCTGTCCTGACCTCCAAACCACCAATCCAAGCCACCAATTAGAGGGAGACTGACCAACAAGTTCACGTTGGCAGGAACCCCGAGTGGGAAAAAAACGCAGCGGGCCTTGACTCAGGCAGCGCTCACGGCGGCTGCCGCGGCGGTCATCAATGTGGCTGCGCCCGCTGAGGAGGCGGGGAGTTCATGGTCATTGCGGTAATGCTGACCCCAATACTGTGGATAAACAGAATCGCAGAATCCTGCACCACATAAGAAACCCTGGAATGATGTTTCTCCTCTTAATACCAACAAATTATGGTTTCCCATGGTTTCAAAGTGGTGCAGGAGTTCGTCCATCCACTGTATTAATCAACCGAACAGTTTATGTCCCTGGGTGAAATGTGGGGAATGCACCCCCGAGAATATTCAGTGGGTGTGACTTTCTGGGTTGAATTTCGGCAACGAGCGTTCACCCTTGAAGAGGGAATATCCTCCCATTTCATGAAAGTGCACGTTCGGCCCCTTCAAGACGATCTTTTTCCTAAAAGGAGAGCCTAGAGGGCATATTCATCATGACTCAACATTATGCCGTCAAGCCGAAGTCTAAGTCACCCAGTTCTTCACCTTTTGGGTGCCCTCGGTTTACTTGGATGTTGAATATACTAAGTATGTGCCATGGTCATATTTGAGGCAACAGAGGTTAGTTGTCTTGGGTAGAACCAACTTTGTGGATGAAGCAGAGTTGGCTCAATTGTTTGCGTGCCCAACAAACATGAGGGGACAATGGAACCTTTCAGAACCCTGACAGAATTATGTTGTTTGCGAACAGAACAAGTCCTGGGCTCAAAAGGGGCTGGCCATGTTGTCAACAACCGACCCAGATACATTTTTGAGGGTACTCTTTTTGGCGTTGATTCAGACGGGACTGACAAATACAGAAGGAAACCACCTGTTTGGAGCACTAGCCGAACGGATGCCAGCCATGGCAAGAGAGATTACGGTGCGACAGCTGTCTGGGGAGGAAGACTCATTCGTAGTGTCCGCCCACACGACCATCTGTGAATTCAAGAGGCAGCTGCACGCTTGGCTGCCCTGCGAAGATGAATCCAAGCGCAACATGAGCTCGGTGGAGGTGGTTGTTGGAGACAAGCACCTATTGAACAAAGAGGAGCTAGTTTCAGAGGCCATTCCAGGTGCAGAAGTCCTAGCTTTCCTCAGCATCCAGCTGGTAGTGTGCTCAAGCTTCCAAGCCTCCGGCTGCGAAGTGGAAGATTTGTTGGTTGTGGACATTTCCGGAGACGTGATTGCGATTGAGGATGATGCCTTCAAAGGCTGCAGCTCATTGGCAAGCGTTGCCATTCCCAACTCTGTGACTAGGATTGGAGACTCTACCTTTACAGAATGCAGCTCATTGGCAAGCGTGACCATTCCCAACTCCGTGACTCAGATTGGACAGAGTGCCTTCAAAGGCTGCAGCTCATTGGCAAGCGTGACCATTCCCAACTCCGTGACTCAGATTGGACAGAGTGCCTTCAAAGGCTGCAGCTCATTGGCAAGCGTTGCCATTCCCAACTCTATAACTAGAATTGGAGGCTCTACCTTTACAGAATGCAGCTCATTGGCAAGCGTGACCATTCCCAACTCCGTGACTCAGATTGGACAGAGTGCCTTCAAAGGCTGCAGCTCATTGGCAAGCGTTGCCATTCCCAACTCTGTGACTAGGATTGGAGACTCTACCTTTACAGAATGCAGCTCATTGGCAAGCGTGACCATTCCCAACTCCGTGACTCAGATTGGACAGAGTGCCTTCAAAGGCTGCAGCTCATTGGCAAGCGTTGCCATTCCCAACTCCGTGACTCAGATCGGACAGAGTGCCTTTGAAGGCTGTAGCTCATTGGCAAGCGTTGCCATTCCCAACTCTGTGACTAGGATTGGAGACTCTACCTTTACAGAATGCAGCTCATTGGCAAGCGTGACCATTCCCAACTCCGTGACTCAGATCGGACAGAGTGCCTTTGAAGGCTGTAGCTCATTGGCAAGCGTTGCCATTCCCAACTCTGTGACTAGGATTGGAGACTCTACCTTTGCAGAATGCAGCTCATTGGCAAGCGTGACCATTCCCAACTCTGTGACTGGGATTGAAGATTATACCTTTGCATGCTGCAGCTTATTGGCAAGCGTGACCATTCCCAACTCTGTGACTGGGATTGGAAACTTTGCCTTTGAAGCCTGCAGCTCATTGGCAAGCGTGACCATTCCCGACTCCGTGACTGAGATTGGAGATTGTGCCTTTGCAGGCTGCAGCTTATTGGCAAGCGTGACCATTCCCGACTCCGTGACTGAGATTGGGACTCGGGCCTTTGATGGTTGCAGTTCATTGGCAAGCGTGACCATCCCTACTTCTGTGACTGTGACAAGATGGGGTGCCTTTGCGCGCTGTAGCTCATTGGCAAGCGTGACCATTCCCAACTCCGTGATTGGGATTGGAAACACTTCCTTTGAAGGTTGCAGCTCATTGGCAAGCGTCACCATTCCCGAGTCTGTGACTGAGATTGGAGATTGTGCCTTTGCAGGCTGCAGCTTATTGGCAAGCGTGACCATTCCCAACTCCGAGACTTATATCGGAGAACGTGCCTTTGAAGGCTGCATCTTCCTTTTGGAGTCAGATGGGACATGAAGACATTTGTAGCTTGGAGTATGGCGACAATGTTGCTAGTTTGGGTTTCCCACCCCCAGTTTGTAGAACATGCCATCCCAAGATTCCTATTGTTGAGAGTTACACCCATGTTGCCGCGCGCTTGCGCGCCCGAACTTGGCGTCAAGCCCTTCAAAAGGGCGACGCGTGGCCCCGGAGCCGTTTCGGTCACATGATGGGGCCGTTTTTGTGATTCCGACAACGGCCGTGTCTATACCGCGCCAACAAAACAAGTGGAGGGCGGGCCAGGGCGGAAGGCGTCAGAAGTAGCGTACGGTTTCTTTGCGAATTTTGGAAGATCAATTCAGAATGGGGTCGCGCCCAAACGAAGTTTCCTCTTGACTCAACAAAAGGTGGAGTTTGTGTTGAAGCGCAGGGGTGATCTTTTACAGACAAGTCCGGACTTGTTTGGGACATCCTAGGTGCAAGGATCCAAGGGCACCGGATGTGCCCTGACCCAACAAGCTCACCACTGGGAAAACAAGCTTACTGTCCCACTCATGAATCTGAAGGTTGAATGCTAGGGTATTTCTTATTTTTAGCTGAGCGCCCAAATCCCCGAAAGGGCCATTTTTGGAGGTGGTTCTGCTTTGTTGAGCTGGGGTTGTAGTAAGGCCTATAACCTCTACCATGTCAGTAGACCCAGACTCGTCAGCGTTGTTTTTTGGGCGTTGCTCAGTCGGTTGGTGCTACTTGCGCACCTTAAAAGGACATACCTATTTGTACCTAGTCGTACAAGCCATGGACTAAGGGTACCCTGGATGCAACCTGCCTGTACCACCCATTATCATTCATGTGTAAGTAGAACCTAGATGATGTTCTGCCCAGATCTATTAATATTTGTGTTTGGCCGGTAACGATGTTGGAGTACGGGAAAACCAATTTGGAAACTACGGGTACACCCAACGGTAGCCCAATCTGTATCCGGCTTGCCAGAATCAAACCCGAACATTCGCTGCCTGAGTTGGACTCTTCTTGGGCTTGGGCAAATTTTAGTGGTGGACAAATCGACTTGCCGGGGCCAACCCACTCAGGAAGTGAGATATGGGGGGGGGGGGTAGTTGGAGAGTATCGGGTGGGTGTGACTTTCTGGGTTGAGTTTCGGCAACGAGCGTTTGCCCTTGAGGATGGAGTATCCTCCGCCCTTTCATGAAAGTGCACGTTCGGCCCTTCAAGACGACGTTTGTAGGAGCCGAGCCTGTGCACTTTCATGTTGGGAGGCCATTGTCTCCATGCTTAGTGATTTGGATCGGCGTACTTTATGCTGTCACGCTGGAGTCTCAGTTTACCTGGATGTTGAACATACACTGTCAGGTGCTGCCATGGTCATGGTTCGGAAGCAACGAGGTTAGTTCTCTCAGCTTTGTGGGGAAAAACAAAAACGTTAGAATGAAGCAGAGTTAGCTCAATTGTCTGCGTGCCCAACAAACATGTCGGAACTCTGACGGAATTGTTTGCGCACCGAAGGAACTCCGGGGCTTAAGCGGGGCTGGCCATGCTGTCAACAACCGATCCAGATACATGTTTGAGGGCACCCCTTTTTGGGGGTGGTTCCGAGCGAGGTTAAAAGGAAACCACATGTTTGGGAAGTCAAACGGATGCCAGCCATGGCGAGGAAGAGTGCCGTAAGACAGCTGTCTGGGGAGGAAGACTCATTCGTAGTGTCCACCCACACGACCATCCGTGAATTCAAGAGGCAGCTGCACGCGTGGCTTGCCTGCGAAGATGAATCCAAGCGCAACATGAGCTCGGTTGAGGTGGTTGTTGGAGACAAACACCTATTGAACAAAGAGGAGCTAGTGTCAGAGGCCATTCCAGGTGCAGAAGTCCTAGCTTTCTTCAGCATCCAGCCGGTAGTGTGCTCAAGCTTCCAAGCCTCCGGCTGCGAAGTGGAAGATTTGTTGGTTGTGGAAATTTCCGGAGACGTGATTGCGATTGAGGATGATGCCTTCAAAGGCTGCAGCTCATTGGTAAGCGTGACCATTTCCAACTCCGTCGCCTCTGTGCCTTTCAAGACTGCAGCTCATTGGCAAGCGTGACCATTCCCGACTCCGTGACTGAGATTGGACACTGTGCCTTTGAAGGCTGGAGCTCATTGGCAAGCTTGACCATTCCCAACTCCTTGACTGACATTGGGCTTCATGCCTTTCATGGTTGCAGCTCATTGGCAAGCGTGACCATCCCTACTTCCGTGACTGTAACAAGATGTGGTGCCTTTGAAGGCTGTAGCTCATTGGCAAGCGCGACCATTCCCAACTCCGTGACTTGAGGTAGGAGATGGTGTCTTTGCAGACTGAGCTCATTGGCAAGCGTGAGCATTCCCAACTCCGTTAGGTATATAATATGCCTTTGAAGCCTGCAGCTCATTGGCAAGCGTGACTGACCATCCCCAACTCCGTGAATGTCCTTGGAGATTTTGCCTTCAGAGGCTGCAGCTCATTGGCAAGAGTGACCATTCCCGCACTCTGGGACTGAGATAGGAAACAGTGCCTTTAGAGACTGCAGCTCATTAGCAAGCGTGACCATTCCTGAGTCTGTGACTGGGATTGGAGATTATGCCTTTGCAGGCTGCAGCTCATTGGCAAGCGTGACCATTCCCAACTCCAAGACTTATATCGGAGAACCAGCTTTTGAAAGCTGCATCTTCCTTTCGAGTCAGATGGGACATGAAGACTTTTCTAGCTTCGAGTATGGCCACAATGTTGAGAAGCTAATTTGGGTTTTCCCCAACCCCCAGTTTGTAGAACATGCGATCCCCGGGTTCCCTAATTTTGTGAGTTATACACTTCTGTTGCAGCGCGCTTGTGTGCTCGAACTTGGCGTCAAGCCCTTCAAAAGGGCGACGGACGCTTGGCCCCGGAGCCGTTTCGGTCACATGATTGTCTGGTACGGCGCCAATAAGTAAGTGGGGGGCGGGCCAGGGCGGAAGGCGTCGGAAGTTGTTTCTTCTTTGCAAATTACGGAAGATCAATTCAACATGGGGTCGCGTGACTCAACAGAGGGTGGAGTTCATGTTGAAGTGCAGGGGTGATCTTTTACAGACAAGTCCGGACTTGTTTGGGACATCCTAGGTGCAACGATCCAAGGGCCCCGGATGTGCCCTGACCCAACAAGCTCACCACTGGGGAAACGAGCTTACTGTCCCACTCATGAAGGTTCAATGCTAGGGTATTTCTTATTTTCAGCTGAGCGCCCAAAACCCCGAAAGGGCCGTGTTTGGAGGTGGTTCTGCCTTGTTTAGCTAGGGTTGTGACCCAGACTCGTCAGCTCAGGTTTGGCGCGTTGCTCAGTCGGTTGATGTCCTTTTGGTCCTACTTGCGCACCTTAAAAGGACATAGCTATTGGTACCTAGTCGTACAAGCCATGGACTAAGGGTACCCTGGATGCAACCTGCCTGTACCACCCATTATTACTCGTGTGTAAACACAGATTTTGGGGGTATGCGCATTGGGGTAAGTAGAACCTAGATGATGTTCTGCCCAGATCTATTAATATTTGTGTTTGGCCGGTAACGATGGAGTACAGGGAAACCAATTTGGAAACCACGGGTACACCCACCGGTAGCCCAATCTGTATCCGGCTTCCCAGAATCAAACCCGAACATTCGCTGCCTGAGTTGGACGTTTTTGGGGCTTGGGCAATTTTAGTGCTGGACAAATCGACTTTTCTGCTGAGAATATCGAGTGACTTTCTCGTCAACAAGCGTTCGCATCCTCCAACCATTTCGTGCCCCCCCCCCCTCTCCCCCTCCCCTCTCCCCTTGGCAAGCGTCATTCCCAACTCCGTGATTGGGGGTCATTCTGGAGTCAACATTATTGGAGCCCCGAACCATCATTTGTAGATTGATCCCGTGGTCAACGGCCGAAAAAGAGAAATAGGACCTCCACTAAAAGAACCAAGCCAAGCCAGGTTGGTTGAGGGTAAGTAGATTGATTCACCATGGTTGTAAGTCGCATGAACCGAGTGTGTCTCGTTTTAGAAGAGACCCGCCAACATGGCTTCGGTTTTCCTTTTGGTTTCCCTTTAAACCAAGCCCAAAAAGGGTACCGAGCCTGAAACAACAGGACACACCTATGTGTCAAAACAGGGGTTTCAGAGACTCAGTAGTGCCCTGTTTCCTTTTTGGACTCGCTTGCAGCCAAAGCGAAGAAAGGCATTTTTAACCTTTTGGTTTGATTTGGTCCATACTGTGGATGGACGCCCTCCTGCACCACTTTTAAACCATGGGAACCCAGTGTTCGTTGCTATTTACAGGGGACTGTTCATTCCAGGGTTTCTTAGGTGGTGCGAAAATGATTTCGTCCATCCACAGTATGTCTGTTCCAAAAGGTGATCACCTTTCATGTTCAGGTCGAAGCTTGGCAACTGAGTGCCGTCATAATCAGCTATCAACCAAAGAGTTGCGCTTTGTTGTTCTGGTGGCTGGGGTCTGGCAGGGCCCCACAAACTTCCATTAATATGTTGTTGCCTTTGTTGCTTTTGTGTGTTTCTTGGCCTGAAGCACATGGAGGCAAACATGCCGGTTTTCTTTTTCATCCCCCTTCTTTCAAACGGGTAGCCTCAAGAACAATCCCACACCTTCATGGAAATCCCGAGGCGCGTCCAACAATCAATCCACCCTGGCAGATGGAGGTGGTTTCCCTGAAGTTCTCCTGGTATTTGGCGGTTTTCGGGCCCGCGGCCCGAGGGTTTGGATTTGAACTCCCGGTTCTGGGTAAATGGGAACCCCCTCCTGAACCGAACCCACCGGTTCGGCTCCAAACCAACTGGGGGGAAGCGTTCGATTCCTTGTCCGATTGAGCCCCCATGATTTACCGCACAGCGAGAGGATTCACCCCGTTTCTCCAATCCCGAGCCCCACGATTTCGATTTGCAGACACTGGCTGGGGTCGTCAAAAACAAGGCCCCCAGAGAAGAATGATGACATGGTTGACAACCTGACATGTGTGTGTGTTTTTTGGAGGAACCCGCCTTTCGGTCGGTTTTAAAGGTAACCAGCAGGACACCAACCATTGTTGGGGGTCTCCGAATTTTGAGGAAGCATCTGAGTTCTGCGGGTTGTCCTCCAGTGCTTTTCAAAGCATCAGCATACGGGTCAAAATTAATCCACCAGGGGACCACAGGTTTTCTTTTATTGCTATTGGGGTGGATCTTTGGACTTTAACTTTTTGGATTCCCCTCATATTTCCTGTTAACCAGCAAAAAGTTAAACTGTTTGCTCGGGAATCTACAGCACCCAAGTTTTAGTCCATGTTTTCCACTTGCCAAAATTCCATTTCGGATACTTAACTTTGGCCAGGCATCTGAGGTTTTGAAACCTGGGGCTTCCATTCTTGGCAATCTCAGTTGTTCAGTGGCTCCAATTCTTTTTCCAACTTTTTTTTGGTGGCTGCCCACTAAAATGGTCTTCCCAAAAAAGGGTTCCCTTTTTTTCCAGGGTCACTGAACAACTGGGCAATCATCGTTCTTTCCTCACTTCCTGAGTTCCTGGACGTTAAACTTTTTGGGAAGACCATTTTAGTGGTAGATAAGACGTTCAGACTTCTTTTGGCCATTCCACTTGGGAAGTTTGTTTCCTAAAACAGCAAAATCCGAAGTGAGTCTCCCCCTTATGCTTATGGGGTCTGTTATTGCCTTGCTGTGGATGGACGAAATCCATTTCGCATCACCTCAGACACCCTGGAATGGTGAATTCCCCTCGAAATACCAACAACCGCTATGGTTTCAACCACGGTTTCTCAGGTGGTGCGAGATGGATTTCGAGGACCCACCCACAGTATTCAGGGCTTCATCCGGGAGTTATGCCCCCGAGTTCGCCCACCCTAGGGGTTCATGACTCAGCTTCGCCTGCGCCCGAAGGTGAAGGTTGCGGATGAGGGCATGGGCCCGAGAAACGGACAGCTCCCCGAATTTTTGTTGGGCATCTCACTTCCGATCGAGTTCCTGGACTTGAAACACGTTTCGGGAAGACCATGTTAGTGGTCAAAATTGAAGAGCGAGGGCTACGCAGGTATTGGTTCCATTTACCTTTGGGTGCCATTTTGGTACCACTTGTTTGGGCCACAGCCAAATAACAAGTGTTCTTGCTCGGTAGGGAATGACTTTCCGAGTCCGGGTGTTGGGCATGAACCGTTTTGGGGATTTCTGCCTGACCCACAGCCATTTGGGTTTCATCATTCGCTTTGCCTACGAAAGGGAGCTGCGCCATCGAGTTCCATTTCGATCTCTTTAAAGGGATCTCATCCAAGAGTGTTGTCTTTTTTGGGGTAGGCTAAATAACGAAACATCATCGGAGCACATTCTGCTTGGAATACCCTCTTACCAACACTTATGGAAGTGGACAGGGGGCTCCCAAAAACGTCCCGTCAGCTTCCATGATTGCTGGAGAGTACCCCAAAGTTGTCAAGGTTTGGGTTACCCCATTCCTTACCAAGGGAGTTGTGCCATGTGGGTATGGGTCAAAATTAAACCACCAGGGGACCGCAGATTTTAGTCCATGTTTCCACTTACCAGGGTTCCATTTTGGGCACCTATTTTTGACCCACATCCATGTGGTTTCACGGTATACGAATCTGAATGTGGCCGACCGGAGCTGCGTGTTTCTGGCCCAGGTCGGGAGAAAGCTGCCCGGTGGCCCGGTGGCTGGATGCGATGGGCAAAACGCAACATCAAAACCTCACTGGCCCAAGTGATCGCCTTGTATTTCCAGGTCCAAACTGGGCAACTACTGTGGATGGACGAAATCCATTTCGCACCGCTTTGAAACCATGGGAAGCCATTGTTTGTTGGTATTTACAGGGGAATCATTCATTCCGGGGTTTTTTAGGTGGTGCAGGATTTCGTCCATCCACAGTATTATGGTATAGTACTTCCTGATGAACCCGGAGCCCCTTTTAAAAGGGGCTCCCAACTTGCCAAAGCACGGCTGGTCTGCTTCGCGCCTTAGACCTTGAAACCAAGGGCATTTCCAATACACCTACAACCTGGATCGTCAGTTGCGATCGTGTTTTGCACTCAAAACCCCCAAAAGCGATCGCAA